CATTACTTTCTAATTCTTTCAATAGTTTCTAATTCTCCATGTGATACAGAGTATGTTCGCGCTCGCGTAAAAAATGTGCTTGACCGCAAGACGACGCGTACCGCTAAAAGCACACCCGAGACGTTATTCCAGGTCAAAAATCTTGCCGTCCAAGATTACTATGTTTAACACAAGGAATATCAAACGACGTAGGAGAAGCCCACATGGAATTGATAAACGTATGAGGAGCAGAGAGATAAAGCGTGTTTCGGTCAAGTCTAGGTCAAACTCTGGTATCCGAGCCTTGCGTAGGCTTGAAGTAATCAGTGTACAAGTAGTGGTAGTCTAGCAAGTTGTCCACTAACTCCGAGTCACTTCTCCAGCTCCCTCCTCTACGCATCAGACAGTCAAGCCTCGAATCCACTCTAGCAACTCCTGGTTCAATTTATCCTTATCTTCCCATAACAACCAATGCGCAGCGTCGAAGTCTCTAACAGTTAAAGGACCTTTCACATTCTGGATAGTGACCGCCTTCTGCATAGCAGGCAAGCAAATGCAATCTCGTAAAGCTGCGCCAAAGAAAACTGGTTTATGGATAAGAATGTTCTCCGGTGTGATACCTGTAGGAATATATGTTTTAGCAAACAGTTAATTATCAGATCATAGAATTTTGGCACCTTTACTGTCCTCAAGGTCGAGATCGAAGGTTCTGATTTTGTACCAATTCACTGGTGCCGCAAGACCACCCTCGAGAAGGTCCGTCTTGTGCTTATCTAGTTCCTATTTGGAATCGACACCCCAAGATTACTTCGCTTTTGTCGAGTGTAGTAGAACGAGATGATTCTTACCTCTTCTGAAAGATAGGATGCGGAACTTGTTTTCCTGTTCCCCTCAAGCCATGCCTTCAAAGTACCAGTCGGCGCAAAATGGTCCTTCCAAAGGCTAGGGTCGGCAGGAATCAGGAGACTATAGAAAGAATCGATCTAATGATCTTGTCAGTTGTGCTTTGCCTCGACGAAACGATATCGGCGAACATTCTTCTCGATCATTTCAGGAGCTTCCTCTGCAGCGAAGAAGCTCCAGTATCCGAAGAGTTCATAACCTGCGATCTTGACGGTCTTCGGCGATACATCAGAATAGATCAGGAGCATCAAGGTGTGGGGCATACCTGGGGAAGGATATCCGCGTACTTGATGTTACTCGGGGGAGTATACCCAACGGCAAGGAAACCGAATGCAAGAAAGCGATCTGGGAAATAGTTTGCAAGGCGACTTAGCAGTCCGCATCCCCTAATGTCATAAATAAATTGTGAGTACCGCCTTCCAATGAGTCCAGATGAATCTCACCAATCATGTCCGATCGCAATAGTCTTCTCGACATTCTCTGCATCCAGGATATCGACGATGTCTTGACTCATTGAGCTAAACTTGTAATCATGATAATCGAGAGGCTTGTCCGTTCCCCCATAACCAAGTAGATCGGGGACAATGAGCCCATATCCTTGCGATTTGAAAAAGTCCACTTGATACCTCCAGTCGTAGGATGTGCTGGGAAAACCGTGGAGGAAGAGAAGGAACGGTTTTCCTGCAGTTGGCGCGATGAAATAATACTTATACTTCAACCCCCGACGGGTTGCAGAGAACTTATAGTGTGTAGGATCCATGGCTGGTGCAAGAATTGAATCGAAGATGAGGTGCTTTAAAGAACGAGTTTGATCAATCAGAATGCCCCAGACGTCTTAAAATCAGGGGTATCCGGGCAAAGGCGGTACAAGATGTGCTGACTGAGAACTTATGCTTACTGTGCTGCGTTTGAGTTAGACGGGACTGATATCACTTGAGCTGATTGACCAGTTCGTCGGATTGCACCATTTGCCGGAAACACGAGCTCGAATTAGATCAAGCGTTGAACGTTGACCATACGAAACACTGCATAATCCAATCACGACTAGTGTGTCGACTTGGGTGCAACACACTCTTGTTTGGCTAATTTGGAAAATTAGGACCCTCTATCATTTTGGAGAAATCTACGAAGTTGACCTTCAAAACCGTCCGTAAAACCCCCTGCATAAGTTATGCCCATTTACTTCAACAGCCAACCCGTCCCTCCGGGAACCCGAGCCTCGCTGCCTCAGTAGGACCCCAGTGCCATAGAACACGGTAACGGTAGAGATCCAGTTAGAAAAAAGAGCCTGATGAATAAATATGTGCTGGAGGTGGTTGTGGATGCGAACTTGTTGACGCTGGCGAATAGCATTTGTTGTCGAAGGAGACTTTGACGATTCAAGGTATGGCAGCGATGATAGGAGTTGAGGTGGAGCTTGCTTGATAGAAGATAATAGTGGAAAGGATAGCAAATCTTAGGCGACTAGTAGATTTGTCAGTCAAAGGCTATGTCATTATGCAACGGACAATAACATAAGGACAAAGGCACCGGGCAAATTAAGTACCTGCCAGTGCCTACATTGATAAACTTTGGTGTAACCACTGTCGAGCTTCCTGGATCACTGGAATCGAGGACGCCATTCTTATGTTTGAAACAGACAAAAAGAGAGCCATTATGAAACGTCGCGAAGCGGCGCCTAACCTTTCGACAATACTTGACGGGGACAAGGCTCCATAGCCGTCCCTCTTCTTTCTCCAATGCCGCCGAAATGTCGATAAATGGTAGTAGCCTGGTGCCAGGTGGAATTGGTCTACCCTCAAGGAGATTCGCAAGTATCTTGTTGAAGTGGTCAAAGGTCAGAAGTGCCTGTGACGCCTTCGGCCCCCATCTTGTAACTGCATAGACATGAGACAGTGCGTACTGAAGACGTGTGCAGTGAAATGCCTTGTGGGTACACCATGGCCATGAACGAAGCCTGCAACTAAAGTAAGAAGATTATCGGCTGTGGAGATGGACGTGTATTGTAACTGCGACCGACGGAAAGCAAGCCAGTCAGTTTGACAAACTCACTTGAGTTACGATCACTTGGATGATCTAACAACAAGCACCGCCACACGACACTTGCTAGACTTTCCGTTTCAACGTTATGTTCTCAAGAGTTTAAGTGAGTTAGATTTAGCACAAAATCAGACGCTTTTTTTTTTGGCTAATTTGTGAATCTTAGAAACGAATTGACAATAGTACATGTCTTAATACAATGGCGATCGATACCCATGTTCTAATACTTGAAGGGCCCTTGAGAAGTACCTAAGAATTATCTCACAAAGCCAAACCTTGGATCCACGCCAATAGTTCCTCGTTCACTTGATCCTTCTTTTCCCACAATACCCAGTGAGCAGCATCGAATTCTTTAACGGTCAATGGGCCTTTAACGTTTTTCCCCGTCAGAGCTTGTTGGAAAGGAGGAAGGAAAACAGGATCCTTCGACGCAGTGCCAAGGAAGACAGGCTTGTGGATAAGAATATCGTCCGGAGTAAGATCTGCAACGGGACCGCGTTAAAGAGAGGACTCGAGAAAACACTCTTATTACTACTGACCTTTAGCATCCTCAAGGTCGAGGTCATAAACCCAGACTTTGTACCAATTGACTGGGCCTGCAAGACCACCATTGCGCAACAGGGCTCGTTGTTTCTCCAGGTCCTAAACATGATGATAGTGCTCAGCATCTGATTCGATTGACCGGGCTGAGAAAACACGTACGTCTGTTGGAATATAGGATGCAACTTCTGTTTCGTTTTTGCCTTCGATCCAGGATTTCAGTGCACCGCTCGGAGTCAGATGTGTAAGCGACAGTTTTGGATCATTGGCGAAGAGCAAGGTAAAGAACGAGTCAAACTGTTCCGCACTAAGTTGATCGTTTAATCCTCGAAAGATGAGTGTATCTGACGCACGTTTCTGTCGATGAGTTCTGAGCTTCCCTCTTCCGCAAAGAAGTTCCAGTATCCAAAAAGCTCATAGCCTGCAAGTTTGGCGAGCTAAAGGATCGACGGTGAATCAAACGGGTCGTGAAAACAGGCGAAACGAGGTCATACTTCGGCAGATAGATCCGCAAACTTGACGGTGTTAGGAGCTACGTACCCGACCGCGAGGAAACCAAAGGCAAAAAAGCGCTCGGGGAAATAGTTCGCGATTCGACTAAGCAAAACGCTACCCCTAGAGATTCATCAAAAACGAGAAGAAGGTTGCGAAATGATAAACTCAAGCATACCAGTCATGCCCAACTCCTATGACCTTCTCGATCTTCTCTGTATCGAGGAGATCGATAACATCTTCAGACATCAGTCGCAGTCTGTAATCGGCATAATCGCTAGGCTTATCCGTTCCACCATATCCAAGCAAATCAGGAACTATGAGGCCATAACCGTGGCCCTTGAAGAAATCGACTTGGAACCTCCAATCGTAAGACGTGCTTGGGAACCCGTGAGTGAAGAGAATAACAGGCTTTCCCGCAGCGGGCGCCGAGAAGTAGTAGCTGTATGTGAAGTTGCGACGCGTTTTCGCAGACTTGTAAAGCGTGGAATCCATGATGGGTGCGGTAACCTAAGATTGCAGAAACTCTTCCATCTTAAATACGTTTGTGACGAGTATAACCCTGTCAAGTCCAAGTCAAACACGGGTTTGATAGTAACACAAGTGATCGGGCATCGGGAAGCTGGCGAAACTTCTGTCAAACAAGTAATTTAAAGGCAAAAGCACCTTGGTCCTTGGGTTTCGTTCGAGTTTCCATGCTACAAGGCTCAGAATGAAGTTATCATGCCTGTTTTACTCAGATAAAGGGACCCATTACATGCAACCCTCAACGCATAGTAGAGGCGGATGATACTACTGGAAAGGTGCTCAGTGAAAGTAACACTTTACCTCAGGTTCATTTGATCTGACATGCAGTGACCTTGGACTGTGCCACTGCTTCCTTGTCATACTCGTATCCAGTATTGAAAAACACATCAATCCGACTAGCTGTGCGACGCAGGAGCCTTGACCATGCGTGTCATCTTTTGATATTGAGTCCATCGGAGTCGTTAAAATATAAGAAGGGGGCGATCGAAATAGTTGTTAAGTAATCCTCTGACTTATGAGGGCACATGGTGTAGTTGGTTATCACGCCCGCTTAGCATATAGCTGTTTGCGGGCGGTCCCCGGTTCAATTCCGGGTGTGTCCAGTATTTTGTAATTTACTTTTTTGTCCAATACTGTCACCAACATACTTTGCACTGGCACACGCAAGTACCCCCAATATGCCAGCAAAAAATCCTGAACTCAAGAACTCTTCTGCCAGGTGAAGGTTTGAAACGTAGTGTTTAAGTAAGCTATGATCAAGGATCTGAGTTGTGGCGTCTTTGTGAATTGTTTGCTTGCTCCATTCAACGTGACGACTACCACTTAGTAGTAGATTGGAGATTCGGGAGTTGGAAGGTGAGGTTTCTTTTGCAAACGTATCGCACGGCTGATTTGAACAGCACTAGAGCGCCTGGCCTGAGCCCTCGTTGGCGGGTTATGATACATTAGTAAGAACTATGTCCTCGTCCGATTTACGAAGCCGGTTTTCACTCTTAGCCCATCTAGTTACCCGGATCCTTATAGCAGAAAATATATTCTAGCAATGCCGGTGTCTGACAATTCAGTCGAGTTCAATGGCAGGTCATCCGAGGCGCCTTTTCACAAAAAGGTGTCTCCGGATGCTCGTATGAAACATATGCTAGCTTGGCGTCTAACTTAGGACGATGTTCTCATTGGATCTATCTTGCATATTTCCGATATAAAAACAGGCCACAAGTTTCCATCACATAGGCGATATACGCTTTACACTATCTGCACATGGTCGTCTTCAACCATCCATCTTCATTTGTTCTGCGCAATATTTGCGACATAACTGGCCGTGTCTTCGAGCTCAAAGAGAGCCCATTACGCGAGGAAGCAAATATCGTTGTTATGAAATGGTTTGAAGGGTAGGATAACTTCTACTATATGCACATGTTTTTCTTGACGCTGATGTACAAATCCTCAGCTTTCAAGTCTACGACCAGGAAAAGGCATATAAGTTCCTCCACTTGGGAAATTCGATGTTTTTGCTGCTTTGGGATTCCCATGGGCCGACCTAGAACATCTTACGACGTGTCTAGCTTTTTTCCTTTGGGCATTTTCGGTTCGTACTAGCTACTAGACATCATCGCCATTGAACAGTAACAAATGATGAATAGACGGACGATCTGGATGAGGGGGAGTGTCAGTTCGACCCTGAGAAAGTCCAGCGTGGCCATGACATATCTTGTCGTATTCTAAACGACGACATGGCGCCACAGCCCGATCATCCTTATGCAGGAATGCTTTGGGAGTACGTAACAACAGGGCACCTAACTTTTCCAGTGCCCGAAGAAATTCCAGTGCGGCTCCAGTGCACCTCAGTGCGGACTCGATACGTTGATATTTCGAATATTCTTGATTTCTGCGGCTTGTATTAGCGTAAGAGTACGTCGTACGATGGACAGGCAGTGCAAATACATCGTTTGAACACCGGGAACATGTGAAGTTTGGTGTCGATAAGATTGAGCACAGCCACTGATGCACTGGAGTGACACTGGAGTGACACTCGACTGCACTGGAGTGACACTGGAGTGACACTCGACTGCACTGGAGTGCACTGGAGTGCACTGGAGGCCTTTTTTAATGCACTGGGACTGCACTGGAGTGACACTGGAATTAACTGGACTGCACTGGAGTACACTCGAGTGCATTTGAGTTAATACTGTTTTATTTTATGGTGAACATGATCGAGTTTCCAAAATTGGCGACAGCGACGATCTTGCTTGACATGTGAGACCCAGCGAGCTTGCTTTATACACGACCGCGATGATATTTGTGAGTTATAACATTCTTGAATGAGGCTCTACTGATTCTGGCTCAATAATCAGGCCTTCTTTCATTATATATATAATTATTTTGCTTCCGTGATTGGCACGGCGCTTAATCACACGCGTAACATTCACGACTTCAACCCCGCTGGGGTAGCTCCCGCCTTACCGGGTTTGC